ATTAATATTGGGCGCCACTTGGCGTCGTTTTCTCCCACTTCAAACAGAGCTGAACTAAAAGATGAGAACGTACCTGAGATGAGAAAACCCTCAAATGATCTTTGCTTTTAATTCTCCCTCTTACTATGATGCTTTCAAACCCTTCACAGTGATGAATAGAATATTAATTACAGCAATTAACATGATTGGTTTTAGTAGTAGTGGAAGTATTTAATACAAATATTTAGCTGGTGTTGCTTCTCACATGTGAGTATTTGCCCAGATTTATAGCATCAACCATTAAATTAATTGACAGTTGTTGAGTGTTCACAAGAAATAATTAACCTAAATGTTTTACCTTTTTCTCAGAACATGTGACAGACATTTCCTTCTGACATTTTAAAGACCAAATGAATAATGGCGAAAAAAGACACTTTGTCACAGTAAAACTAAAGTGAGTTATCCAAACATCGTATATACACCAAATCTAGATACATATTATATCAATGCAAAGACCTATAGTCACACACACATACTTTTAAAATCTACACACAGGCAGTTAAAATGAAGACATGTATAATGACGTGTCAGGTCTTTGCGGTATAAATTAATGATTAAACGTGACACACACTCCGAGTTCCCCTCCTCGCCCTCACCACTAATCAATCAATGTGTGAAGTGGTGCACCACGTTGAAAGGTAGGAAAACCTAAAGTCAATATTTGGATTGGGTAAGAACACATAATTTGGAAATTACATAAATACAGTTGTCGACAGCTGAAAAACCGCAGGGCTTTCGCTGTGTTCTTTGATGAATGCCTCCACCGTCATGGTTGTAATTTCTGTAGCATTGAGTGTGGTTTTCGGAGGGGGGGGGGGACTCTGAACCAGCTCTGGGTTTGTGAATATTTAAGCTAACATTTCGACTTTCATTAAGTGCTGGTTAACAGTGTTATCTAACATGAACTCAGACTTTCAAAGCCAATTTACAGTGATTAACAGATTTATTTTTCTTCTTTCTTGCCTCATCCCCATGGGCTAGACCTAATGCTTAAAAAATATATTTTGCTATAACTTACATGTAAACCAGTCCGCCCTCTTAAATGCCCAGCATACCACTGAATGTTCAGTTTTAAGCGTTTAAGCATAAAATGTATATATGTATCTGGTTATGGCAGCTTTTTTCAGAGGTTTTTTCAGATTGCAATTACAAGCAGTTTGTTTAAAAGCTATCACGCGTGGACATAAATCATTAAGTGGAGTTAAATGAGGTTGCCAAAACAAGACACACTGTTTATTGGCCCCTTCTAAACTTCATTAATTATAGCCTCAGAGGTTGAATACTAATTGAAGTGCCTCACTTTGCTCAGAAATGTACCTTTTAATGTGGTTAGGAAGTGGAGCTGGGTGAGTGTAACAATTTTAAATGTGTTTTGAGTCAGAAATGAAAGCGGTGGTGTGATCACATTGATCTTCAGAGGAAACCATCCATCCTCTGGAGGAATGAAGGGAAGAAGCACAGGGATACTTAGAGTGACGGAAGCAAGGAAAAGTGTGGAAAAGTTTTGAAGTGGAGATGAATAGAGCAGATCAGAGAAGGAGAAAATGGATAGCAGACTGTGGTAGATATAGTGAGGAGAGGAAGCAGTATATATAAGTGAGATAGACTTTAATAGATAGCATTTGGTGACTTAGAATGGCACTGAGAAGAGGAAACTAAGATATAATGTTGGATTAGGCATATAAACCTGAGATCTAATAATTTGATTATTGAATTTAAAAAAGATTGGATGGTGGAAAGTAAAGGTATGGTTGGGTAAAACATCAGTCTTATGTAGAAAGGATAATGATTAAACTATGGAGAGACGTCAGCCTCAAATAAAACGATAAATGCTCGAAAGAATGGGAGACGAGGAGAAAAGGGGAGTGCTAAGGGCTGCTTTGAAAGAGAAATCAGTTTCAAGGTGTTTCAAGTTAAAGGAAGATGGATGAATGGTTTAAGGGGATAAAAGAGAGGAATAACAAACACTTTTCAATTATGCTATAAAACCAAAAGGGGTAAAAAAAGAGGAAAAGAGAGAGGAAGAGACTTCAGCCTTCAGGAAGAGACATTGTGATTCCTCTACCTAATATAGCTTTTACTTCCCACAATTATACCATTAGATACCTGTAACTACTGTAACTGGAATAACCTCTATCATTATTTGGTTTCGACATATAAAGAGCAACACAGGAAGTGTTTGATGCTGGCATCTTGACATTATGTATCGATATATTGGCCATTGGTCAAAACCCCTGAGGCAAATAATAGATTGTTATGCCGTTCAAATGTACACACGTATCATATGCCACAGACACACACATATCATTGGTGTACATTATTTGGCATGATTAAAGAAAAACTAGCGAATTTGTGTCATATCCAGAATATACCGTGGAGGAACTACCTTAGAAACAATGCACTGACAACATCAAGATGCTTTAACTTGGTGCTATTTTTGAGAATATGTAATAGAAACATGTGTGATTTGATAATCAAAGCTGTATTCTGAATATAAAACTGCACTTGAAGTTTCCATTTAGTTCTGTATGCTGTTTATTATTTCTTATAAATAAGGAAAATTGGAAACGGCCAGGCAGTCGTTTTAAAAACTGCAATTGGCCAAGACATTTCCCATCGATGCATCTTTACTTAACTTATATCTTTGCTCGATAGCATACTCATTATGATACTGCTATATTTCCTGCGTGCATTCAAACATCCAGAATAATTACCAATCCAATTGTGCTAGAGGCTCCGATTGAAGCAAAGCAAATGATGCAACACTTGCTAGCACGTCTCTTTTGCATTTAAGTGCAAAAAAACGCTACTTTGATCCTTGGAATACCTTGATCATCAGCTCCATTTCTTTCCTTTAGGCTGCGGCTTCAAAGACTCTTAAACATAACATGGAAGACCCTGGCTCCTGAAAAACGTCACACTATGTCAGTGTCATGATCTGTAATTGAGGCACAAAGAATCCCCACATGAAATCTGTGCGCTTGTAAAAATGTTCAGTGAATTGTTCCGTTTTCCCATGGCCTCGTGCTGTTTTCCCTCCCAGCCTCGCGCCCCCTTCACTGATCTCAACTCTCGCTGCATTTAAAGCAATGGTCCAGTGGCTTTGATAAGAACAGTTTCAGATTGCTCAATATTCTCCCGGTGGTAAGAAAACTGCATCTGCTGTGCTGTAATTGCCCTTCGGGGACGACGCTGAACTCCAATGAAACTCAGACGTTTCCGTGCATGAGACTCTCTGCATGGAACGCTAAAATGCAGACAGAAATGCATACGCGTTGCATATACACTCCTAAAGGCTGGTACGCTTATATGAATTAAGTACACATATGCAAACAAACAAGCTCACGTACACACTATTGTGCCTCTAATTACAAAGATTAATATGCATGCAAATGCTATCCAAGCGAGTTGACACGCGTATGCACGAGGAAGCAAAGAACACACACAGTCCCAGATTAGCCATATAATGCTAACAGACATTCGACACAGGCACACATAGCACACTGCAAAAACAAAAACCTCATGAAGTCATTACTGAGTCCACGAAGTCAGCCAAAAAGTAAAACTCTGCAGGAAGATCATTTCAATATTTCCCTATGATCTCATTTCAAGAGTTTTGTCCAATTATTTTCATTGTTTTGTAAATTGCAATGCACCAATCTTGTTCAAGCACTAATCCTTAGAAAAAGTTCTTTCATATTGGAAATATACCAAAATAAAACTGCTACGCTTCAAGATTTCCCAGCACTGTAAGTCTGCATAGCAAGCTCACGGGCTGGAATAGAGCGACACAATAATTGAAGAAGATGGAATATTCCTTTAATCTGTGTCTGCTTGGTCAACACAGCTTAGCCTTTCATTTGTTTATCCATCACACATTTCTTCTCCCTTTGTCCTCCTGCCATGCTGCATTGCCCCTTTCCCCTTCCTCCCTCACCTCACTGTCTGATGCTTTTCCCCCCCTCTATTATTTTCATTCTCTCTTCTTTCCTTCCCTCTCGTCTCTCGTCGTGCCTCTGTGTCAATATTGCTTTGCTTCCCTATTTACTCTTCTCCTCACTTTCTTTCTCATCCATGTAATAATGGCCTGTGTATGTTTGCCAAAAGTCACTCTCATCCTGCCAGCACTTAGACGAATCAATAGTGAGCCAGGGGCTGTGTGTGTGTGTGTGTGTGTGTGTGTGTGTGTGTGTGTGTGTGTGTGTGTGTGTGTGTGTGTGTGTGTGTGTGTGTGTGTGTGTGTGTGTGTGTGTGTGTGTGTGTGTGTGTGTGTGTGTGTGTGTGTGTGTGTGTGTGTGTGCTCGTAAATAGATCCACATAAATATGCTGTATATGATTGTGAGTGTTGGCCTGTGTCATTTATGTGTGTGCTCCCCTTTTTGTGTGCATTTTTCATGGTTGTGTGTGTGTGTGTGTGTAGTAGTGTGTGTGTGTGTGTGTGTGTGTGTGTGTGTGTGTGTGTGTGTGTGTGTGTGTGTGTGTGTGTGTGTGTGTGTGTGTGTGTGTGTGTGTGTGTGTGTGTTGGATAGCATATGGGACTGTGTGTTTTTGTGTGGAACATTATTATCATGGCAAAGGAAAAGCAGAGATTGACAATGAATAACTTGACATTGAGCGTCTGGAAAGCAGAACAGTCGCTCTGGTTCCTTCCTGTTCGCTGTTTTTTTCTCTCACCTTTTCACCTCCCCATCCCTTACGCTTTTCCCTCTCTCAGCAGTCCACAGTTTCACCATCAGCCACCCACCCACCCACTCATCCATCCACCCTTCCTCCCATGCATTAGGCAAGCTATCTAGCCATCCATCCTTCAAGCCATCCATTGGTATATATGAGTGCACATGATAAATGTTTAGACCTTGTTTGGGGAAAAACATCCTTTCTAAAGGACACTGCCATGGACAGATCATTTATCAAATCTGTCTAACACACACACACACACACACACACACACACACACACACGTCCTCTGACCTTGACAATGAGAGAGTGTGCGTTGGTGGTCCTCGTCTGAGGGGGGGACACATGCTGCTGCACGGCCTGACGCGACCCCCGCACCGTCAGCAGGATGAAGGTGTAGGAGAGGAAGATGACGGTGCAGGGCAGAGCGTAGCAGAACAGGAAGAGGCAGACGATGTAAGACAAAGCTGAGAGCTCGTAGTTTGGTGCTTTCCAGTCGATGCAGCAGGCTGTGCCGTACGGTTCAGCACTGTAACGGCCCCACTGCGCCAGGGGCCCCACGGCAAACACTGAGGCGTAACACCAGACCCCGACCACCAGGAGGCGGGCGTGTGCCGACGAGAACTTGTTACCTGAGGGACAGGAGAGGAGATAGAAAAAGATGCTTTGCGGTTACTGTTGTCATTTCTTTTCACTTGTAGTTGTAGTATCATGATCGATCCCATCTACAATCAGAGATCAGACTACATTTATTTGATTTAAATCCCAATTCAAAACCTGGTTAGTGAGGAATCAGCTCTGCCAACACTGACACTATCTCCTGCTCCCTACAACCCAGTGTCTGTCTACACTGTTTAAAATGAAATGTGTCTTCAGGCTGATTTATATTACATAACTTGTTAGACACTTTTATCCAAAGAGACTTACATACTCAATACTGTGGACAATCCCCACAGGAGCAATGTGGGGTGAAGTGTCTCAGGGACACAACGACATGCTGACTGCAGAGGGGTTTGAACCTGTGACCCCCTGATCCCAACACCAACGCACAACGCACTGCCTCACACGTCTCCCTTACAACATCTGTCCAGGGGAAAATAGTGTCTCGGCCAACTCTGCCACATTTACAGAAATGTTGATTAATGTGCACTGTCCCTGTTAAATAAATAACAAATCAGTTAGTAGTGTGTGACCCTCTCACCATGGTTGGGGAAGCAGACTTTAAGGCAGCACACTAGGGAGAGGGCCGTGAGGTTGGTCAGGCTGCAGAGACCAAACAGAACTCCACACATGGCATACAGCTGACAGGTGATCTCTCCAAACAGCCACCTGTACACACAGAGGACAAAGGAGAGTTCAAATGGAGACTATAACTAACATTATTTTTCATCAATACAAAGCTATATACTAAGCTATATAATACTAAGCTTGGCTCATTGAACAACAGAAACAGAACATATCCGAGCCAGCTCACCGTCTTCGTCACACAGAGACCAGGTGGACTAAATACAAATAGACCACTCCCACCTGACCATTTCCAGAAGTGATAATCAATTACAAACGTGTGCAATATAAACAATAATAATACAAATGATTAACTCGCTAAATAATCTTATTTTGGCTTCTACTGTACAATCCGGAGATTTCTTAAGCCCACGGTGTCATCTTCAAACTGTTTTGATTTACCTGCAGTACAAAACCTAACTATCTCCATCATTCACAACAATGGCAGACTCTTCTTTAAAGAGTTGTTTTGACAGCCGTAAAACCTTGTCATGCTTTTGTTGGCCGCCTTTTCGTTCTCTGTTCCCCGAATCTCTATTCCATAAAGCATAAACTGTATGTCCAGCTGCAAGGATGCATAAAGCCAAAGCTTCAGAAATAAAATATCTTCTGAGCACAGGCAGAAAATCATTGCTAAGAAAATAAAACAATAAACAAAAAAATGAAATGTATGTATTCTTGCCCTCCTAATTACTTTATTTTCTAAGGCCAATTAGAATTGATTGTGTTGCTCCACAGAAGGGCTTAATTGCTGTCTATTTGTTTGTTTTACCAACGATGAACAACGCGATTAATTTGATGATAAAATAAAACAAAGCAGAGCATTTGCAAAACTGAAACACTTCAATCAGGGAAGGCTTGGCATCTTTGATAGTCAAATAGTCGCTGATTCCACTTGTTTGAAGACAGAAATGGATGTGCAGTACCTGTGTTCAAACGCTGATGGAATTGCCAATGGGAATAAAGAGAGCGTCATCCCGAGGTCGCTGATGGAGAGATTTATGATGAAAAACTCAGCAGGCTTCAAGGTCGACCGCTTGTGATACCCGACGAGCAGCAGGATGCAGTTTCCTACGAGCGACAGTACGCCTGGAAACAGAAAGAGAGCGGTCACCTGTGGGATTCATGCAGGGTGAGATGGATCGTGTTTGTTGTGTGTGGACTCACAAAAGACTCCGTAGAGTGAACCCATGAGGATGTCGTGCTCCTTGGAGATGGTGGAGGCAAACACAGCAGACGTGTCTGAAGCATTTCCCATCTGAAATGCAGTAAACGTCAACATTGAACTGTCAGTCGCCATCATTGGAGAGTCGCTGCGGTTTACAGAGTGTTCATGACATGACAGCAGCAGAAGTTACCTCCCCACTGTTTGGTTGAAAGCACATCAACTTATCTCCAGTTTTGTTGTCAATGAATTTTAAATACTGTTTGTTGTCTGCGGTACATTCAGTGCTTTGCTCCAGTCTTTGATGGACAGTACTTCCAGCCTACTACCGCTGTAGAAATCCTTTTATTATAAGAAAATAATCCCAAGCACAAGATGAGGACAATTCGTATTAACTATAAATACACAAAGCAGGATTGACAGATGGAAAGCATTATAAGGATTGTGCCTTTCAGGATTTACAACAGGAGCAGGAGATGAGAGATTTAGAGCCTGAGAAGAACATGATTAAAATAACATGCACTCAAATTTGATGAGAATAAAAAGATAGTGAAATTGCATATTCACTCCAGCCTTAGAATAACCCTACTGTACTTCATCACATTTACTAAAATTAACCAACACTATTTGTAATGTCATCAAAAGCCTTATGGTTCTTCAAAACATTAACTCCCAGTGTTACAGGTGTTAGGGTTGATAAATAAATACCAGCCTGAATTCTGAGTCAGTGTAATAAAAGGCACAATACAAATCAAACAAAATTGTATTTTAAGAGAATATAAAAAGCCTCAACCTTTTTGGATTTGCTGACGGTGACAAAACACTGTCAAAATAAATCACAGTTCAAAGAAAGTTCTTCCTCTTCTTCCTGCTCTGTATTTACAACTTCATCCTCCTCTTCCATGTCTGCAGAAACACGTTACTTTGCAGAGCAGCTTGTTTCACGACATCCAGAGTTCACATGAGAATCGTTACTGCATTGGACAGTATATAGAGTGGCAGGGATGACATATTTGTATAGGCCACCCCTGAAGGTAGCATCACTCTCGTTCCCTCCACAAAAAGCCAATGTTTTTTTCATTGGATTTTTGATTATTAGAGGCAATAAACCCGGTGGCAAACACACTTTTATGATACTTACATCATTTCCCTTTAGCATAATCTTCACACATAAACAAAACTTTTATCATCTTTGAAGTGTGAATGCAATCTCCAGAAGTATAAAGCTAAGCATAGGTGCACTGTCACATGACTTCACGTCACCACCACTAAGCTAAAGGTGGCTAATGTTGGGCTATAAAGGAATAACAGCACGGTCACATGACTTCACGTCACCACCGCTAAGCTAAAGGCGGCTAATGTTGGGCTATAAAGGAACTACAGCACGGTCACATGACTTCACGTCACCACCACTAAGCTATAGGTAGCTAATGTTGGGCTATAAAGGAACTACAGCACGGTCACATGACTTCACGTCACCACCGCTAAGCTAAAGGCGGCTAATGTTGGGCTATAAAGGAACTAACAGCACGGTCACATGACTTCACGTACACCAAGGATTTATTTGACTCACCTGACCCCGAATCCGTTTGGACCTGTCATTTATACTACAAACCAGTGTCTCAAGAAGTAAACGAATGTCCGGCCGTCTACCAAACCATGGAACTCACCGTAGGTTTTTGGCGCAGGAACCGGAACCTCGGGAGGGGAGTTAAATGGACCCCTGACGACCGACCGAACCTGACCGGTATCGATTACTTCGGAGTTGGACTTGACCCTGACCTCCAGGAACGTCTAGGCCACGATGGCCGGAAGAAAAAGGAGTATAACAAATGTACGACTTAATATAAAGATTTAATTGTCCTTGATATAAGTAGACAGTCTCCATTAAACTACCTGGAACCCCCCTTTCATATTCGGTTGGGCCGAGTCGGAGTCCTTCCTTAAAAGAGTAGAACGAGACTACCTAAATAATGCAAGTACGGACCAGACCCTCACCAACCCCTGCCTAATCCTGACCCATTTATGGGTCCCTTGCCCCATCTTTACAAAAGGTTCGCCCTTCTGTAAATGTTATCCCCTCACCCGCACGTCGCCCTTAGGTTTTTGCCTCTTATTCCAGTATTAGACTTGTGAAGACCCCAGGGAACAGAACTCCCGAATTAAGCAAAAATCTTATCCCAAAAAACCGCCCTCTTCGGACTTTACTCCCAGACACCAATTGTGTTCGGACGTCTCTAAAATTATGGAACAAAGAATGCCTGTATTTAATAACTGTCATTTATGCGGGTGATCCTCTTCAAAGAAACACAGATTTTTTACGCGCCGAAACGATTTCTCCAACTGATTTAATTCGACGGGATTTGTAGTATGTGCCAACTTGTATCGGCCGGCGGAAAAATCGAAATCACACCACTCACCAGTCCTTCCAGGACACTGGCGACGACTCAAGGAAATATCCGGGGTTGTAAAATCGAGCGGAAAATCGAAATCGCCAGCCCACCACTGCCGACTCAGTACACTGGCACGGACAAAAAAGGGAAATATCGGGTTGTAATCGGGTGGATGATCGAATT